TATATGTGATGAAGTAAAGAAGACTTGATATTTTACAATTATGAGAACATTGGAGCTGGATGGTGCAGTGGTGCAGTGGTACACCGTCAGGGCCGTTCTCCCAAGTAGATACTGGGTAGCTTGAACACCTACCACACTCGAGACCGGAGAAAGCTGGTTCGAATCCAGTCAGACCCACACACCACTCTCTCGCGGTGGTATCGTACTTGTGGGATGATCAAAGCACATTCGGATAGTCACAGGTTTTTCACGCTTTTCCCTGTGGTGGGTATGCACGGAAGAGGTTATACGCCGTAAGGGTTAACCTCGAGTGGTATCTGCAAATGAAATCTGAGTGTGAGTGTTCTTAATGTTAAATTGAGTCATTCTACTTTAGTATGTATCTTCCGATAAAACCTGCATGGGCCTCAAGGCGCCAAATCAGGAAAAATGATAATATATATATATATATGAGAACATTGGACTGTCATATACATCTGAGGGAGAAATTCTCACTAGTCTCATGTGCCTGTCAAACCTAGTGATGACCAGCCACCTCTCATCTACCATGAGTGTCAAATTGGAGCGTTGGCGTTTGAGCTGAGGTGGAATAGAAGGGCGAGAAGAGGTCGGATGGATCGCGAGGGATGACTAAAGATCTACTGGAGATAATTTGGAGAGCTAAAGGTTTAAAAATGGGTAATATAAGTGTCTAAAGAGTCTAAAGATACGAGCAAATACTAGTGGTGGCTAAAGGTGACCAGAGGTGATCCGAAGGTGGTGGTTATGACAGAAGACTAAGCGTGAAGAACTCTATAGCTACAGGCCAAGCCATCATACATATACTTGCTTTCCTCCCACTAGCTCATCATAACATAGGCCCTAAACTAGTGCCAACATAATAACCAATGCCAAGAACTGTTCTGTTGTCATAGCAACATCAGGAGAAGGGTAAAATTATATACTAAAGATAGGATGGGAAGGAGAATCCTTACAATGAGCCAAGGTACACTGTAGTGCGCAAGTATCCAATCGTATATGCGACAGTAGGCGCGATTAGCGCATTCGGGACATGTATAGAGAGAGAATATCTTGTCGGGAACCTGAGACGAAACAGATAATGGTTGAGTGCTAAATTCGAGAGTCAGAATTTCCAATAAAAGGTGTTAATCAATCTCGGCTCTGCAGACTCTACGGTGAGAGCTGGAGGTGCGTAGGGGACGCCGCCGACACGTATTAGTAGGAGCACGGTCGCGGCACCAAATAAAACTGATGATGCTGTGACATATTGTTGTAATCAAGGTATGAGTAGGTATGAGATGTTGAATATCCTAGGGATAGTGCAGAGGATGGATAACGATTATCAGAGCTTGACGATATGATGAATAGCTTGGTTATATTGTTCTACATATCACAGTAGTAGATAGGACTTATGTACACATATTTGGTACCCGCTAAACAGTACATCACCGTCTATGCATGAAGTACTACAATCTTAATTGGGGGACTATTCTCAACACCTGTCAGTGGTGTCCCCTACGAACCTCCAGCTCTCACTGTAGAGTCTGCAGAGCCGAGATTGAGTAACAGAGTCCTCACTTCGAAGAGGATTCCCAATCGCTTTCGCGGTCTGTATCGTCTTCATCTCTCAACACATTCCCCTATCACCACTATCATGAAGCTAACCACGATCAGATCAGATGGTAGGGTCGGAGCCCTACTCGTCACCCACCCTTGATCATGGAGGAAAAGCCATCCGATGAGTTTCCGGAGCGTATCCAGCACCCGATACGGAGATGGTGGATTGGATCAAGTCGACCTCGACTGTTACAAAGAAGGGAGATATAGATGAATATGCGCACCTCATGTGGTCCTGGTGTCTAGGCCTCGCCTGGCTGGGGCTGCAGGTTTTTTGAGACTTTTTCCCGCGCACGCAGTTTCCATTGCTACCATTTTTATTTTTTTTGGGTAGAAGGTTCCGTGGAAAAGGTGGCTGAATTCCACGGGTAAATACTGAGCTGAATGGCTATTCATCAAGAGGAATATATCAATGATCTTTCAAGTAACAAAAGAGGATAGGAGCACTGTACAAGGTGTGGCCTGGGTCAGAGAGGAGCCCAATGTGCTAGATAATCATAGACTCAAGTAGTACAATAAAACACAAACACACACATACAATCTTAATTCCATGCAATACTATCCCACATTACTCTATGCCATTGTAGAGAGCTGCGCCTCAATAGTCGATCGTAATGATAGCCATGTAGGGCTGTGCAGTACTCGCATAGATGTGTTGTATCCCTGGCACTTGGCAGAGATAAATTTAGAGCAAATGCAATAATCACATCACAACACATATACATGTTCTGTTTAACCCTATACTTTATCAATTCTACTTCCAGTACTTCTGGATCCCTCGAATATGAGAATCATGATCTAGTACTATTGAGTTTTAATAGGCCAGGAGTTTTTATATCACAACTTGTGTATTCCTTCTTATACCTTCCCAATAGATTCTTATCGGCGGTATGCTTCCGCAGGTCTAAATTTACATACATATTAAGAGAAGTTGATATTCTATCGTTACCCCCCCCTCTAGCTAACGAGACAAAGGGCATATGCAGGTGTATGGCGGCAGGGAAAAGCTTCAAAAACTTCTGGCTGCGGAGCTCTCCTACAACGACACCAAGGCTATGCTTGAAGATAAAGCAACTGTCGGTATAACAGCGGCCTATTGTTTGTACATGCTAGCCCAACAGTTGCTGGTGATTATATATATATACAAAATCCAGTGCATATCTAATTCTCTACCTATTATACAAGGAAAGTATTGTACAAGCTATCAGACATCTGTAGCCTGATAATTAAGCTCCACAAAGTTGAACGGCTCAGCTGTCCTGTATTCCAACTGCTACGCTTTTGGAGTGTCCGGTCAGCCAGGCGCAGTAAACTAGTGTACAACTAGTAGCATCTCTCAACTTTCCCGGCCTGCCCGTTGTTTTTCTCATGGTTCGTCTCACAGGATAGGCCAAAGGTAGAGATTAGTTATCGGAAAAGTCTTTGTAAAGAATTATTGCCGCGAAGTAGCATGGCCAGCACGCAAAAGTCATCATGCTCGTGAGGTTTCTAAGTAACCTACATAATTGAGATGCCATCCTAGCCAGCAGATTTCAAATAAAAGGCTAGAAGAGACGATATTATTGACGAGTCGCGATTTACTTATCTTAATGGTGTAAGTACCCTTTACTCTGATGTCGTGGGCTTCTTGTTTGCCTGCAGGTGGGTAGCATATGTTGTGATTTGAAAGATTCTCTAACCACTGTTGTTGTCGGTAAATGTATCATATTTGGGCAGTATGAATTGTTCTATCTAATTGCGGTATTCAGGTTGTCGTTAGGACACTGAAAGGGATCTGATTTAGCTCATTAGCGAGGCGCCTGGAGTAGAGGAAGAAAGGGGAAATGGAGAAGGAAAGGAAGAGACAATGTTTTATGTATTTCGAGATACCAGTTAATTGAGATTATTCACCGACTTTGTGACGGACAGCTGACTTCGTGACGGCACCCCATTTGTATTACTTCCTGTTTTACCAACAGTTGTAGCGTTCGATACCGTAATATCTTTCCTTATTCCCAGCATCACTATCGTCGTATTTATTGTCTTGTATTTAATCTGTTGGTAAAATACGGTATACGCGCGTAAATAAAAGGCAATAAAATAGATTCAATAAAACGACACAATAACTTTCACATACAATTTATTCTATCTACCTGTTCTAATGCTCTTGATGTCATGTAAGAATGCCAAGAGAATATTGCGTAAGTTGCATTACTGTTATAATAGGTTAATACATATTCCACCTACTATTAAAGTGCATATAACTACTGTTCCAACATAATCGAAAGCGTATCTTTGAGGAAGTGGGAGATAACTCAGCTCAAAGGTAAAAGAGTTGTCACGAAATCTCGAGTCTATAGACTTAAATACAAGTGCTAGAGGTTTGTAAGAGACTCCGTGAACGGTTGTTGAGTTTTCATCCTCCTGTTGAACGCCGTTTACTAAGAACCTCAATGACCCTCAAATAAGTTGACGCTAGATTGGGGTACGAGGTTGAATATATGGTTGTGGTTCTGAGTTACACACTACCTTTAATGTTAAGTATACTTTAAAGTAATAGACCGAGGAAGGACAATATATTAAAAGGATATCTGGAATATACATGTTGTCATGTAGAGACATGATTCATTTATGAGTTGATATTGTTCAAACGATCATGATTATATCACAACGTCATGTGTAGACACGATTCATCGTTTGTACCTGTTGTATCAGCCATGATTATGTCTCCGTGATATGAGAAATATCATTGACCAGTTACTAGAAACCTAATCAAGATCCTAAACACACAACTGAGACTAGGAGAATTTTACTGAGGAATTATTCTGATGAATCTAGATCTAGAGGAACATAATCTGGTTGCTTGGCTCGAGGTATATGAGCCTGAGCATATCATGTATTATAAACTATATAGAAATCTATCTCAATCACAATCATCATCTTAATTCATGTCACCATCAATAGCTGCAAAGGACAGTTTAACCATTTCCTTATACATGTCTATTTTTACTCAAAACTCTCATTCAGGAATTTTTCATGTACATTGATGGATAAGAAGAGTCTTGCTCTTAATATTGGAAACAAAATGGTCTTTTCAAGGAACATCGGATCTCAGTCTCACCGAGGGCTAAGTATGATGTTGTTAATACATTTATACTGTGAATCGGTTGACGGATCACCAAAAAGCCGGATGAGAGATTGAAGAGAATGTTTGAGTAGCAATTATCCATGGATATACTTCACTCACTTGACTTCAACTTTATCTTGATAAATCATAACAGTTTACTTTCGCCACAGTACCTAGGTTCAAATAAAAGAAAAGATTATATGTAGGAAATTAACCCGGCAATTCTGCAGACAACTACAAAATTAATGATAGTCTGTATCCTAGAATATGCCACGATTTACAGAGCACAGTTCCTCCAGAGGTGAATGACTTTGTTTAGACCAATAATGCTTCCAAATAATCCCACACAGAATTCTGGTATGAGACCTCCCTGGGAGCTCCAATGAGCCGCTAGTGGCGCATAGGCCGCATTTAAAAGAACCTGTCGCCTCCAATTAGAGGTCCAATCACATTCTTTCTCTGTCTTTTCCTCGTGCAAGCCCCTTTCTCTCCAGAGTCGCGCAAGTTCCAGGAGTATATGGGCTACCCAAAAACGAGAGCTGTAAACCCATGCTTTGCTCTGGGCTTCGGTAGATAGGCCGAGAACGCCTTTAGAACTGAGATACGCGTAGTTTTCCAAGTACTGATAAGCTAAGTTCACAAGGATCTGAGTTTTCTCAATTCGTCTTATCCACGAATCTGGGTGTGGGTTGTTCAAAACTGATTTTTTGGCCCACGCCCAGATTTCGAAGAGCCCCCAAAGGCGGCTAAACATCCGTACGTCAGAGATGAGAGAACTCAGTGCTTTTAGCTGCTGGGATAGTATCAACAGAGAAGAAGATGGGCTCTTCGTGATTTGAAGAATAAAAATTAGATTTGGGGAAAATCTATGAATTTTTTTGTATAAATTGCGAGTCTTTAGACGAAGACGAGCCTGAAAGATTGATGAGAGCAGCGATGATGTTAATAATGTTGAGTAACAGATGGCCATGAGAATAGCATCGCGTCCAGAGGAAGTCGATAGGAGTTCCGAGGCATAGGAGATAGCCCGGTCTGTTTGATAGAGAGAGTCCCTAGCTAAACTTGGAAAAGTTTTGGGGGTGAGTGGTGGCGACTTGGGTGACGAGGGAGGTGTGCATTTTGAACATTGAATCTGATCCTTCTCTTGCGTTTGGGGCAGTGGGTGATTGTTTCCCGGAGTTTCCGACATTGAAAAAGGTAAAATTTTGGGTGACTAATAAAGATGGAGAGGATGATAAGCTGTAAGCAACGTGAAGATGGCTCGAACTGCGACCGAACATCAGTATAAAAGATTATCCTTGGTATTCATATGACTCGAGGCTTTTATCGGCTTAGCGGTTAGCCTCGCACAATGCCTTCAGGTAACCCCTGGTTCTAGCGACGGCGTCAAAATGACATCTATGCATGATCAAGACTCAAAAAAATTGCTTCATTGTCAGAGAAGTACTCCGAGTTTGAAACTCGTAGGGAATGAACTTATTCGCCATGAATTTTGGCTGAAATTCTCCACGAGTCCAATTCACCCTTGTATACGCCTTGAGAGCGCTGATCGTTCCTGGTATCGAGGTCATGCTTTGACGTTTGTGCACGGCTACACTTTAGACCCCACACGAACCAATAATATGTTGGTAAATCCTAGCTTGGGCGACCTGAAAAAAAATTTCCTATCAGGCTAAAGGCCAGCGGTATTGGATAGTTTAGATACTAGGTTGTAGACATTAAGGCGGATAAGTAAGAGTTATGACTGGCAGAAAATTAGCCGAGGGAAGGGCAAGATGGGCTGTCCCCCCTCAAAGACTTATTTTGTGTTTTGATGCTATGCAATGGACCACTTTATATCACATATTCGAGTGTAAAATGGTTACCGGCTCGCCGCAGAATTTCAAATAAAACGACTTTTGATGGACCTTGGCCTGAGAGTCGAACAGTGTTCAATCATGGAAAGAAACAAAAATAGCTTGCAAGTAAGTGGAAGCTAGTTGACAGATGTATCCATGAGCCCCATGTTTTTGTTTTTGTTTTGTTTATTTTTTCCTAAGCTAAAGCTATGTTTTCCACATGAGCCCCATGTGTGGCTTCAAGTCTCGTATCTAATATAAAATGAGTCATATAACGACTGCTTACAATTGTCACTAGAAGTAAGACTTTTAATGAATTACAGTCTCTTAAGGATGTCAAAGTTACAATTCTCAAAATGACTGGGGTTAGATCCTTGTGCATAACGATTAGATTGGTTTAGTCTTCATGCAGGCCCATGTCTAGTTTATAGACTAGATATGTAAGCAGGGGTACTATCCAACGATATTCCGTGAAAGTCAAAATTAGTGGGGACGGCTTTCAATACCAAAGGAAAAGTACAATGGTCCTAATTTAAAATTAAAATTAAAAAAATAAATTGATATTCTCTAAAAATACACATCTATTTCAAAAATAATTGCACTGTACTACAAGAGTATACATCGAAGCCCTCGATATGGCCCCCGAGTAAAATGAAAGCATACTACATGTTTGTATTAGTTGGCTCCATCCTAATACTTCGTTTACCCTCCATTTGCCTTTATCACTAATACACATCTTTCGTGAATGTCAACCGCACTCAACGTAGGCTTTTCCGAGCAATGCATCTGCTGTAACCTCTTTTGTTGGGTGCATTCGAAAGTTATGGCTCACTGCAGCATCAGTAGCTGAAGAGTCCCATCACTAGTTCCAAATAGCACATCAGTCGATCTTCAGTAGATTCCCGAACGAAAGCTTCAAGTTCATCAACTTGTTCCGCACTTAATTTTGGTGAGGGTCCTTTGCGAGGCATAGGAGTCTCAGTCTCTTGAGCACATGCAAGTTGCACTTGCCTTCTTGTGAAGCCAAGTTCGTCGGATATATGTTGTAATGTCAAGCCAAGTCTTCTTGATGTTCTTATTTCAATACATTGATCGCGAGTTAGATGCTTGCGAACTTTGGCTTCTGAAGCAGACTTTTCGAGAGATATTGTTTTCCTCTCTTTTCCTTTCTCTAGCTACAGGTGTTATGTCCAAGATTGTGGGCGACCCTAAGTCACGAGACACGGGACACACACGTGTTCCATTGCTAGAAAGTAGAGGTCCAAATTATCGTTTAGCGAATTTAATATCCTCACGACACTCCAAAGAGTACCATCTTGATGACATCAAAACATTTGCATCAATCCTAAGCCTTTAAATGCCAGTCTGTTGTGCTGGTGATGGCCAGGAATACGATGCACGAGGGTAATGATCAGTGAGAGTGAAGGAAGAACCTTCCGGGTGGTTCCATGATGAGCAGATGAAAAATGGAGCTCTTTATGGAGAGTATTTATAGATTATACTACCAGATGGAGGATACTAGAAGATTCCGTGATACAATTTTGGGAAAATAAAACGAGAGTCTAGCTACCACAGATGTGGATATAATTAATAATTTCAACCTCCTAGACTTTCGTAGTCCTTAATATCAAAAATATCAGTTGTTCATATTGATTCATAAATAATCATCCTTAGACCTCTGCCAATTAAACCTTCGTAGGCTCCTAACTTTATAATACAGTCGCTGTCGCGCTTTGTGAGGATGCGAGTGCAGAATTTTGCTAGAATGATCTCGATAGTTTATTCCCGATTGTCAGACTGTCAGAGCAGCATATAGACAGCAGGGCGGGGACATGGATCAAAGAGGTGGTATTCAGGCTGAAGGGCGCCATCCTACATTGTGCATGAGAAAGGTGCATAACCACTCGGCCAAAAGGCCAGACCAGAATCATAAAACACTAGATTCTGGTTATCTCCACGTACAGAGATTATACAGAAGGCAATCCTGACACAGACATCTTTTTTTTTTTTTGCATCAGATTTTAATTGCGTATGCAGCTATCTAGCTATGACACATTATCAAAGAAAAGTACAGAGTAGATGATTCATCGTTAAGGAAGAGCACTCATGCCTCAGATTTCATTTGCAAGTACCACTGCGAAGTTATGGTGGCTTTTTCTTCACCCCAAGTCAACCCTCATCCGTGAATACCCACCCAGGGGAACGTCTCAAAAACCCAGAGTTATCCAGACATGCCTCCGTCATCCATCAACTTTTCTCCGCGCAAATTATGGTCTGAGGCGTCCCCTTCCCAAGTGGAGTAGGTGCCCAGGCTACTCAAACTTAACCGGAGAACACCACCAGGAGGCGGACCACGACACCTTCCTTCGTTGGCTTGTGTTTATAGTATCAGCTGCACTCTGGCAAGCGAAGTCTTGGCGCGCACAAAGCTCAATTTTTAAAACCCCTTGCCAAATTCAAATTAACACTCTCGACGAGATTGTATCCTTCCTTTGCATCATCTTGTAAACTTGTCCTGATCCCTCTCACGTCCATCCCAAAGAACTGTCTCGCAGATTTGTGCGCCACGCTTCGCTTCCTCCGTCGGGTATAGATATCGGCGTGGGCGTGTATTTGGTGGTCAACTGAGACCAGAGAAGGTCGAAGAGAGGTGTGGTCATTGGGATGAGGATGTACTAGGTCGTACTTGTAGACTTGATGAGACTTAGGTAGGCGTCAGACTCGTTGGGAGCGGAAAAATAACGTGGTGAAGTAATTTTAAATTTTGCCTCGTGGGCCAACTTCTTTGATATTGCGAAATTTGACTGAACTTGGCTCTGGGAGAATATTTCACTCCCGGGATCGTAGAGGACACCGCGTACAGGTTTTCAGTCTTGCCCTCCCTGACACAGACATGTAGCACTCGTACTGCATGCGAGTTTGTCGGATCAATTATCAGGAATCTTACCGGGTATGACTAATTAGAGCAGTCGGACATAGGCATCGCCCGACGCTCTTCTATTCTTATTGACGAGAATAGAATATAATTAAATTCATGTTCCTGATGAGTCTCTAACTTTTCTTTGATATTGTGTCATAGCTAGATAGCTGCATACGCAATTAAAATCCGATGCAAAAAAAAAATAAAAAATAAAAAGAGTCTCTAACTAAAGACTTCAGTGTGCAGGCGATACTTTAAACACCGCCATAGTCGGATTGTGCAGTGGTATAGCATCTAGGCTAGTCTCCCAAGTAGATTCTGGAAAGCTTGAACGCATATCTCACTTGAGACAGGGAATCGATGGTTTTAATCAGGCAAAACATAACCACATTTCTCGCGGCGCTGGCATGCTTGGATAATCAAAGGTTTTGAAACGTCCCTTCAGCGGGTACTCATGGAGAAGGTTTGACCGCTTGTGTACGCAAATATACCCCAGTGTTAATTGCGAATGGAATCTAGAGCATGAGTGTCTCTAACATCAAAAGAGTCATCCGACACGTACAAATAGCACTAATCATCTATCATAGATAGAAAGCTGAATAAATGTTAGTTTATTTCCTAATAACCTAAAGACTAATAAAGCTATCTGAAAGCTTTTAAACTTCGAAGAAATTTTGAAAGCTAATTTTTTTAATATCTACTAATAGATATTGGGGATTAAACCTTAAATATTGGCAAGGGAAAGTATGGTACTCACATGGTGTTGGTATGACAAAGGTCATACACTAAAAATCTATTAGCTCACTTAAAGTTATGAGAGTACTCGTGTAAGTAGTTCAAACTATCATTTAGAAGAAATGCGCATTCATTGTTAATCGTGCTCTTTTTAATTGATGCAATGGAATTGCTATCTAGACTACATTCGGATAAACCATTGTCCGAATGACAGAATCCATAAATCAGGAGAACTAGCCAATGCGATGCAACAACCACCGACTCCAAATAACTCCAGCTACATGAATCATTCAGACATTGGTAATCATTTCTATTGCGAGTTAAGCAATTAGACCTACAATAATCGACCCAACAATATCAGACCTTCTACGTCTCAAAACTTCTCTTGACTGTGAGTGTCAGGAAAAAGCACGAGCTAAGGGATGACAATGTCGAATCAAGTAGAGACTCAGATCAGGATTGTGATATATAAGATTCTAAACTTTTATTCTAATTTCATTTTGTATTCAGCTATTGAGCTATGACAATTTTTCTAAAAACAGTACAAAAACACGAAAATTTTAAATACAAGCAATATCCCATCTTACCAATACTAACTCTCCTATTGCTCCCCCAGTCCCATTATTTGTGTGCCAAATATATCCGTGAAGATTCTAAACTAAAGAAGAGAAGGAAAGGGAGGCGTCTACAGATCTA